TGATTTGTCTTTGAATACTGTGCAGTATTGTTTCATTGATTCATGTTTCTCTTCGTACACTAGTTTAGCAATTAGCGTGCACCATATTTATAAAAGATACTCTTGTATTCTTTATCTTTTTAACACCACCCGTGCGAATCCAGACTGGACCATATCTAACTCGAGAAGCCCTCACAGCCGTTACGACCTGTTCTGATCTGATCATCCATTGCTGGAATGAGCCGTCATTTTCCACATTGGGCTGTATAATGGCGTCTTTGTGTGTCTGTGTTCATTAACGGTAACGAGCCTTTTTCTCATGTGTGGAGAGAAGAAAGAGCCTGCGACGTGTGAATAGTTGGCCTGTTAGCCACTGTAACAGCATATCTGACTCTCCATCACTTAGTGGCACTTCAATGGTATTGGTTCTGGTCGGACTAAAGGCGCGGTCGCATTTCCCAACTCGGGGCCCGGCCGGGCAGTCGTATGGAATGAAAATTATGATATAAGACAGCAAAACACACAAAAAAGTTTTAGAAAATTAACCATGACCACTATTTGTGTATACTCTTAATACAAATTGTTAATTTTAAATAAAATTGTTAATTTTTCGTTCACGCAAACAACCCGGCCGGGCCCCACTTGGAAATGTGACCGACTAAGTGATGTGGGCTAGATAAACATAAAATGCCATGAAGGTTCATCTGTGTTGGTAGTTACAGAAGTATTTAAAGTTAAATACCAGATACCTTTGACCAGTGTTGACGTCACACTTCAGAGAAGCCACGGGACAAGTCTCACTGGGTCATTCTATTGAAGATCAGAGTGACTGGTCGAACACCCTAGGGAAGAATTATCCTTAGTGTTGGAAAAAAGTTCTAACTTGAAACAAGCATAAAATGCCTTCGTCTACATGATAAATCTAGCATATGTAGTAAAGCATCGCTTCTAGACATCTTCAGGTTATATGGTATAGCCATCACTCCCCCACAGTAGATCCCCTTTATGATATAATGTGAACCGAGAAACACTCAAAAGCTCTATCCTGTCTGCACGGTGTATTATCGTATATGGCATACTGGGCGAAAAGTTGAATTTACCGATAGTAAAAATGCCAACAAAGCCGGGTAACGTTTACCTTTATAAACATTGCCGGACCTTAAAATCGTACTGGATAAGTTATAAGTACAAATACCGATGCTTGTAAAGTTGACTACACGGTTAGAGGACATTACTTCAATATTATACCTCTTTCATACACGAGATAGCTTGCTGACATCGATACCATGCTGTTTGTAACGCCCACTAGGCCACAGCTAGTAAATTTTATGGATGACATCATCCACAGACTCCAAATTTAATGCGAGCAGGCGAAAAAACAACAAGGCGGACCGAAAAAAACAAGGTTCCTACATTTTGAAATTTTGACTCAATCATTGTACAAATGGTTTTGATTCAGTGGCAACATCACATATATACAGCCAGCATCACATATCACTACATCGAAGTAAGAAACAATACATTAAATCAGAGCCTTTTCTTGTCTCCTCTCTTTATAGTTATCTGCCATCCACCTTCCGGCATGGCAACAGACATCTTTGCCCATTTTCGGCATGGTGACCACTGTCAGGAGGCAACAAAATTTATTGTTTGTTTTTTTTCAAAATCAGGCAAAAATTCATGCGCGCGCTGATGTCATCCATAAAAGTTACTTGCTGTGGCCTTACCAACAAGACTAAGAAGTAGTAGTATGTCCCATGTGTTAGTGTCAAGTCGTTGTAAAACATCAACAGTTGTGATGTCCCACATTCCTTGTCTAGTAATCGAATGGAACAAACTAGAAATGCCGATTCGGGACATGAGCTTTAGTGTTTAAACGGCGCACTACTCAGTTAGCCCACATTCGATCCACCCTAAGCAAAAAGCAAACCGATTTTTGTAGATGTTTCTTTTTATGTAAACCCTGTCAGAGGTTTTCGATACATAGCTTATATCATAGCAATGCGCGCTACAATATCCAGTCATAGCTTTCAGTATCCTTTTTCAGAAGCTGATAAGTACTGTGTGCCATCTAGCGGTTGCGCCAGTAAAAGCGATCTCAGTTTACTTGTACAGGACCATTTGAATATAAATGAATCAACAGGACACATACATTCAGTGATGATAGTAGAGGAAATGATAAAATGGGGGTAGTGTTTCAAAAATATCAAGACATTTAAAATTAGTGGACACCTTGGCAGCTCCATTACAACTCCTGTAAATTTTTACTAGTACACCATCCTCTGAAAATTTGGTGGTCATACGACATACCGTTCTCGAGTTCTGAGGGGGGAGAAGGGTCAAATGAGCTGCTAGGGGGACAAAACCGACACCACTTATTCCTGATAGGAAGAGCTATCTGTCACCTAAAAGTCAAGACCATAGCATGTTCAGGACAAAAGATTATAAAACCGGAAGTTCTGCTACAGTACCAAGGTCGGCCACCAGGAGGCCCAGATTTGACCTTGACCTTTGTCTTCCTAAGACCTACCAACGTACCAAATATCATCAGAATCCACAAAGGCTTGCTGAAGTTATGCTGGCTACAAATGTGCGGAAACACAAATACACACACACACACAGACAGACACACACACACACAGACCCGCCAAAAACAATACCTCCATTTTTCATGGAGGTAACTATTGCTCCGTTAGCCTTATATCAGTGATGGGAAAAGTCTTCGAGGGAATGATCAGACACTTTATAGTTAAAAAAAACTCTTTTTTACATCAGCACGGTTTTCTTCCAGGCAGATCTACAACCACTCAGATACTAGAATGGACTAAGTGGGTAGACAACGGTCTCCCAGGAGACCGGTCTACCTGGACTTCCGAAAGGCTTTTGACTCAGTGCCAAAACAACGACTGCTTTCCTCAATAGAGGGCTGTGACAGCCTTTAAAGATGGGTTGGACCTTTCCTAGAAGGGAGGAAGCAAAGTTGTATGGTGACACTTTGACGATAGACAAAGCTGTAAATCATGTTGCACAAAGACAGACGCGGGGTCACCCTCAGCCCTAGACGCCTACGTGTACAGCTGGCTCGAACTTGCGAAAAATTCCACTGAAGACACTGTCACTGTCAGTCGTGGACCATTTTCACGCCGCGACAGCAAATAGTAGCCCGCTACCAACAATTCATATCTCTGTAATCTTTATGGACTTGGGTTCTAGTAATTTAATACATAAACTACGTTTACCATTCGATGGCTAAAGGTATCTTTTGTTTAACCCTCAACAGTACACCTTCCCGGACTGATTAATCTGTACACCTGGGGTCCGCGCGGACCCCAGAACAGTTTTTTGCTACTTTTTACAAATTATCAACATGCTACCAGCTCAACATGTTTTGCAAACTGATATGGGAACCTCTGTGTCCACATTACATACAAGAATCATACATTTTGAACTTTTTTATTTTTTGGTGAAGAAAAGAAGACAAGAAGAAATACCCGATTTTTAAACCCATTTGAGACTGAAGGGGCTTTTGAGGCCCAACTTTGATCTCAGATAGCGGCTAAACGGCTTGCGCTAGAAGTATCAAATTTGGAGACCTTTCCTAAAATGTCTCTAAAAAAGTTCATATTAGTTTAATACTGGTAAGTTTATGTTTTTTGTGTTGCCATGGCAACGGGTTTCTAGCAGGCAGTTTTTTTTAAATAGAAGTAATTTTGGTTTAAACATAAAAATTTTCTGAGTTTTATATTAAATTACACTTCTTTTCCAACATTAATAACATCTTACATAATTAAATATAAGTTAAATCATTTAATATACATATAATATGCTAATTTGATGACGTCATTGGTCAACATCCAATATGGCGGACTATATTATTAGCTCTGACGTCATATGACGTTATAATTACACCAAAGTTATTAAAATTTAATTCTATTACTACACCATTCTCTGAAAACTTGGTAGACATACGATGAGTGCATAAAAACATATAAAAACGGAAATAAGGTAATGTATAAGAACGCCAGTGTATCCATTATGATCGAAAGCCGGCTGCGGTCCACGCGGACCCCAAAAGAAAATCAGATATAATTTTTTTTATAAATGGTAGAAACGGAGCTTTCTGCACTGTATTGAGAGACAACTTTGTGGGTGACAATTACCTAAAATTTCAGAAAAAAAAATCTTTAGAAACAAAAAAGATATTACAGAATATATAGTGCTGGGGTCCGCGCGGACCCCAGGTGTACTGTTTAGGGTTAATCTTGATTTTAAAAGCAGGACAGAGTTTGATGCGATATGCGGATTGATCTAACGAGTCCGCTTCTACCGTCTGGAAATTTGCACCAGTGCACCTGGCAGTGGCACGTCGCTACATGGAGCTGGGTGGTGTTGTTGGCTTGAGTTCGGCTTTGTGTTTTTTTACAGTGTACCTCGCGAATTGCTTCTTCTATTAACACAGTTTTTGTGTCTGTAGATTGGGTGATTGTTGTGTACAGAATTAATTAATTTGTCTCTGAGAAAGAGCAATGTGTGAGGGCCAGGCTTGCCTGCCAATGTCGAATGTCCATATCCAGTCAACCATGCTCCCTCCCCTGCAATTCATTTCAATTCTGCCCAGCATAGCTGCCTCAGTACTGCTTGACTTCTACCCTAGCATAAGGTAAACTGTGGTTCTCCATCTGTAGCTTCTTCTGTGCAACGTTACTGTCTCCTGCAAAGCATTTCGAAAGTGTTTGGCTTCGTCTCAGCACACTTTCTGTCGAGATAAAACATACGTTTACCTTGTGGGTGAGGCGGCGTGGCTCTGCGTCCGCCTTTGTTATATGCCTGTTATATATGTCACAATTGTCTTTATTTCGAGAAATTATTTGGGGGCAATAATTCTTTTAGACAAAGAAGCAAATTAGGATTATTTCAAATGTGCATCAATGAATAATACCATGTGCCAAAAAAAAAAGTTTCTGCCCTATGCTCTGTAAATTGTATCCATTCAAGAATACGAACAGAGGCGCTCTTGGCGGTGACATCTTTAATCCAGTTCACATGATGCGACAGCAATACTTAACAAATCTGGGTTAGCTAAAACGAGCGAAAGTGTGTTGAGGGGATGGCGGTGGCGTCTCCAACAAAGTCATGTCTAGCTCTAAATTCACACTGAGTTCTGGACATTTGTCAACGGGTTCTTGAAAGTTCTCGCTCATGATCAGTCTCGTGTGTTCTCGCGAGAGTTTCACGGAACAATTCCTCCGTATGTCATTTGATGTTTTAACATACGACCATAACAACATTTATAAAACTCCAAGTAGCCGTTCTCAATTGTCTTACTCTGTTACATTTCTTTCATCATTTTCGTAAAATTTCTTCCTGAAAATTTTCAACAGTGTTTGACATTCATTACCACACAAAAGTACACCATACTAACGTTGCGTAGCAATATGCTGTAAAACTTGTTAAACAATCTGAGCTGAATAAGCCATTCAATAAAATTACTTTATCAAGTTTGGGGCCATGCTGTTATTTACTCCTGGCATCTGGCATACAGACAGTCGACGAATCATCGAACTTTTAAAGGTTCAAACGATGTTCTCCATTCTAGTGTCCAACAAAGTCTGAAAAAGAAAGAAAACTGTTTAGCAGTTGCAACGTACATGATGTACATGTAATAAGTCGTCTGTCACTAGTACTGAGGCGTTGCCATTGATGATCCTTACAAGTGTCTGGAATAGCAGGTGTCGCCGTGACCGGTTTACTGCGCAAGGGGGGGGGGGGTGATATGTACTGAGGAGATTATGAGGCTTATAGTTTGGACTTTAAGTCCTCAAGATTGGTGCAGAGGGCAGTTTTAGCAGGCAAGTTATTACATTCCCGGATGGTACGTGGGGAAAAGGATTTTCTATGTAAAGAGTTCTGTACTCGGGCAGCTGGTGTGTCGCAGAGTGGGTGAGGCGCCTTGGTTTTGAGCTGCTGGGATGGGTTTCGAACTGCAGTTAATAACCAGCGAGCCATTTTGGTAGTTGTAAAGGTTAATCAGTCGTGGTCTCCTCCGGCGTTCTTGTCGTGAGGGCCACTGGAGGTCGCACAGCATGTCACTAACACTTGAAGTTTCTGTATAACGTTTGACAACCCAGCGAACCCCAGTACAAATAACTTTAGGCATACCTTGATCCATGAGTTTATCACACAGCGTCCAGTGACTTACAAAGACATAATTATGAAAAATTGAGAGAATTCGTTCACAACTTTACCTTTCTTAATTCTAGTTAATGCTATTTTATGCACCTTTTTAAATTCACCAAGCCATCCATCAACCGCAAGATTTGAATCCGATCGTTCTTTGCCCCTGGCACCTTTCATCCATTGACCTAATTAACCATCTACTTTAACAACGGGGTCATTTGTAGCAACTTACATCGCAAATTGATCAACCGTTGTGCCCTACATAGCCTATCTATCACTGCCCCAGACCCGTCTTGCTCTGTTTATGCTAAGGCTACACCGACTTAATTTTATGGATGACATCCGCGCTCGCATTGGTTTTCGCCTGTTGTCCAAAAAAAAAAGATCACGTTCTCCGAGGCTCTGGCCTGGCTCTAGGCCTTGGTAGTCCATGGTAGTTAGCGACAATACTGAGCCGTTGGTAACTATGGCATATGGAGGATCACACCCAGGCTACTGAAGCTCCACGACTCAATAACTCAGTACATGTACATACGTACAATGCTGATTCATAAATTCCGCAAAAAAACAGCATATGTACCGGCTTGTCGTATACGTTGACTATGTATTGCCGCGAGTTCACAATACCTGCTTTGTATCCCTGTGGATTAGTAGCATTTTTATTTTTGGCCGGAATTTTTTTTATTCGCCCGCGCGCACTAGATTTGGGATCTTCAGAGGATGTCATCCATAAAATTAAATCGATGTGGCCTAAAGTAATGACTGATGATCCACATGCGTAGACATTTAGGACAGGTGATATGAAGGCCTGTATGAAACTGAGCGGGCTAGTTGTGGATCGCTTCAAGCCTATATCTGTGGATTGATTCAAGCTTATATATTTCATGCGTATTTTAGAAATCATTGCGTTTTGTCAAGTGTGAAACATGACTGGTAAGATTGAAGCATGCAGCTTCTTGGCAATATAGTGTCGAATCAGCAGGTTTAACAGTGGCTATAGCCTGCACTTTTTTAAAAAGCCGCTAGGCTACCAGTTGGGCGTCGCTTTAGGGTTAGTTACAACTATCCTTGTAGTCAGGTTTAGCTCATTTCTAAAAAAAATCATCGTTAGCTTATTGGATTAAAAGGCCTGATTAGGAATTAGTGGAACGGGACAACTTGCAGAGAGTATTGGTCCATTTTTAGGTAATCGTTTTACCATTCAAACATTCCCTGCGAGTTTCCACCAAATAATAATAATAATAGGCTTGCACAGTCAATGAGATCCATATATATGTTAGGGCACTTCATCAGCCAAAATCTGGAGGTTCTACATGTACCTTGTGACCTCCACTCGGACTGACGTACGTAACATACATGCACCACATACAGAACACACACAGCATGGGAACATATCAACATCTCGTCAAGAACATTTAGCATTTAGTGCCAAGTCTACATGCAATGCACTCGATCCAGTCATAAATTCTATATTCTAGGCTTGACGTAGCGTAGTTTTCTCGTGTCCTGACAAAACATGCTACTCACATATACCTGAAACGACTGTTAAAGTTACCCTAAAACTGTTAGAAGTCACTAGCTTCTTTGTCGGGTCTTCTTAAGTTTGTATTCATTGCCAAGTAAAAGTGCAATGCACTCCTTCTTCTCATAAATTCTAGGCTTGACTTGAATGATCAACCCTTCTACAGTATCACTGACCCTAAAACTAAAACTTAAACTGTTAGAAACCACCAGCTTCTTTGTCGTGTCTTCTAAATTTCACGTAAAACACAAAAAGTTAGTATCCATTGCCAAGTAAAAATGCAATGCACTCCTTCTCATAAATTCTAGGCTTGACTAGAATGATCTACCCTTCTACAGTATCACTGACCCTAAAACTAAAACTATTAGAAACCACCAGCTTCTTTGTTGTGTCTTCTAAATTTCACGTAAAACACAAAAAGTTAGTATCCATTGCCAAGTAAAAGTGCAATGCACTCCTTCTTCTCATAAATTCTAGGCTTGACTTGAATGATCAACCCTTCTACAGTATCACTAACCCTAAAACTAAAACTAAAACTGTTAGAAACCACCAGCTTCTTTTGTTGTGTCTTCTTAATTTCACGTAAAACACAAAGTTAGTATCCATTGCCAAGTAAAAGTGCAATGCACTCCTTCTTCTCATAAATTCTAGGCTTCACTAGAATGATCAACCCTTCTACAGTATCACTGACCCTAAAACTAAAACTGTTAGAAACCACCAGCTTCTTTGTCGTGTCTTCTAAATTTCACGTAAAACACAAAAAGTTAGTATCCATTGCCAAGTAAAAATGCAATGCACTCCTTCTTCTCATAAATTCTAGGCTTGACTTGAATGATCAACCCTTCTACAGTATCACCAAAGATAGCCTATCTCCAGTTTCCAGGAATTTACAGCTGTCCAGGAACATTTTCTCGCCGGTCTTCATTTCATTGTCTTATCGTCGTCTGTGGGTGGCCATTACGCGTAGGGTCACTGTGCGGAACGATAAGGTTACAAGACATCTAAACTTTACAATTAATACCCCGCCTTTTACCATTAGTGCTATTCTCCCTTTAGGGGCAGAGGCGAGAAAGAGAGCTGAACATCAGACAGCGTGACGCCGGAGTGTAATGGTTACCGTCAATGATCTTAAAAGCCCGGGGCAGGAGATGCCGTCAACTGTATCAAGGTGATATGAACCGGGTTACGTGAGGAGTAGAGGATTTACACAGGGTATCAAACGCATGTACTTACCACGAGGAAAAATATCTGAAAAGTAGTGTTCGGCGATCTCAGACCTCCATGACATGTTTAGCGCTTTTGTCTCTTTAATGCATGGTGATGACCACCTGTAAATGGCTTTGATTTACAATCCTGCTCATTATTATAATTAGCAAAACTCTTGCAATTATTTGCAGATATTATATCAGTCGATCATATTCTCCACTCAATGATAGAATTGTCTTAAGAAATAAAGCTATTCTAGCTTATCCTCATAAATTATGCAAATGAGGTCCTGATTTGGATAAATTATGTAAGTGATGTTTTCGTTCACTGAACTTTAAATTATGGCAAGAATTAAATTCCCAGCAGTTACCACTATAAAATTGTAGCAATTTAACAATAATTATGCACATTAGGTCTTCATTTACATAATCAATATCTGCCAGTTTTAAGTTTTTTTAAGACGTTACCTGTGCAGGTAGGACCTCCCCAGCCGTCGAAGCATTGGCATGTGCAGGTGGTCGGGTCCACAGAACCTACGAAGACATCGCAGTGCACGGAACACACTATAGCAAAATAGCAGAAGGCGGTGTTATCATTTCTTCATAATGTGAAAATGAAAATGTTATACATAACCTGTATGAATTCATTAAAGCAGAATGAATTTTATACCAAATATTCCCACAAACGTAGACCAACTGCTCAAACAAACTTTGATTGTGTGCCGGAAAAACACGTTATTTATGTTTTTGCAAAGGCGAAACACACCAGTTTTGTATAGTAAGTACAAGCTGTGTAGAACGGACTTATAGTACAAAAGTGAGAAGCATGTTTTGTACACACAAGTCTCTGCATATGTAACTTGTAGAGTGGACTATAAAGACGTAGGTATAGACGACGTGCAAGGTACCGTGAAATTGCTCCGAGATGTTCAGTCCAACACTGGGCCCTTCTAGGGATTCGAACCCAGAACCTTTAGATTCTACTTTAACAGTCCTAACCACATGACCAACTTGCCACGTCACCAAATACTTGGACGAATGTATCTCAGCCATTAAAAAGGCACCTCATGAAAAGCTCAAATCAGCGTAAAGGTCGCTTTTAACTAAGGTCACGAGGGAAGAAGTAAGGGTAAGACAAAATAAATAACAAAGATACAATCTACATCATTAAAAGTCCTAAGAAATTCATACATCTATTTTACGCATACATGGTTACAAAATACGTAAGCAAGAGTGAGAGCGGGTACATGGATTATAATAGGGTCCGTTCCTTTTTGTAAGGAAAGAATACTACTAAGTACCTTCACATGTCGGTCCCGTCCATGAGCCCACACAGGCACATTTGCAGGTGTCTTCCCCCCAGAGGTTGGGGTCGTTACCGCGGCTGCCGCCGTTCTTACACTCAGGGTTGGTGGGGCAGGCTGTAAGGGAAAAGCGGGCGTGTTAGATCTTCGTCTCTTATAATACTCGTGATCTTTATTTGCCCACATGGGTGAATGCAGTAGCCTGGGTACCATCCGATTTGTAACGGCTACCCCGAATTTTTTTTTCAGGCCCAGTAGCCGTTACAAATCGGATGGCACCCAGGCTATGAATGCAGTAGTTCAAACATTGCAACAAAATCGAAAGGTAAAATGTCATTACCTGTAGTGCTGGTAGTGAACAAGAGGAGAGACAGAATAGATAACACCATCATGTCGTATATGTCATCAAGACGTATTTGTTGTCACTAGATCTATATCATGCCGTAGAATTCAGGGCAAGCGGCAAGCACACGACGTGTGGCCTCTACTCACTCACTCACTCACTCACGTTCTACTCAATCTCACTCACGCACACTCACAGTCACTCTATCACTCACTCACTCACTCACTCACTCACTCTCACTCACTCACTCAGGCACTCTCACTCACACAGTCACTCACTCACTCACTCACTCACTCACTCACACAGTCACTCTCTCACTCACTCACTCACACAGTCACTCACTCACTCACTCACTCACTCAGTCCTCATGCACTTGGTGCGTCGAGCCGACTAGTTTCGCCAGGGCCCGCCTTCTTTCCCTGTCTTCAGCCAGCTGGTGTGTCGGTGGCCTCTACTGCTACGTATAACGCGAGCTGTACTGTATATATCAAACATACATGCATACTATGAGGTGTATCTACCTTACAAAAGACAAATGTAATATACTAATATATGGGACGAGAATATACGTACAGCAGGTGCCGCAGAACTGCGGGCAGGCGGCGAGCACGTGGCTCACGGAGCAGAACATGATGTCAGGCCAGCCGGGACTGTTCCCGCACAGGCTGACGGTGTTCTGGCAAGAAGCTGCAGGGGGAATGAAGTTCAAGTTCATGCCCGAAGGCTACTTGCAAACAAGAATTCGGAGATCTCATACCTCCATGAAATATATGAGTTTTTGTAAATGTTTTTACACAGTACACTACAGTAAAGACCAAAATAACACAGGTTTTCGTTTTCAAACACACAGCTAATACAGTAGCACCTTTGGGCGGTGTACTGTACATGTAGCCTATTCCAGAGGGAGAACCTCATTAATCAAACTGGTAGCAGGCGCTGCCTCCACACGTGTTATGTGTTAGAGGAACTCTTTGACAGCTGGTGTTTTGTTATATAACCCGCACATCTGCTTGGGTGTTGGGTGTGTGTGTGTGTGTGTGTGAGTGAGTGAGTGAGTGAGTGAGTGAGTGTGTGAGTGAGAGTGAGTGAGTGAGTGAGTGAGTGAGTGAGTGGGAGGGTGCGTTGGTGGAATGGATTGGTGGGGGGGGGAGATTCTGAATGTCTCCAAGTAGCATGGTCCCTAGCCATACCTTCTGCTGCTTCTAAGCCTAATCCCGCATCTTGTACATACAAGCTACTTTAAGTTATTAAAAATTCCACAGGCTCCCTACGATCTACAACTCCCTCGCCCAGTCACGTGACCTGGGTGACCTTTGACACCTAGGTCACGTGACCCCTCTTATAAAAAAGATAAGCTGATGAAAGATGGCGGATGCCACCTGAAAGCTTCTCTTAGCTGAACACTTCGTCGTGAGTATCAGTTTAACACCTTCTTTCAATTATTAAACATTAATCGAAAGTTTTAACACATCATGAATATGCACACCCACGTGTTTGACAGTGCGTGCCCTCCCAGCCCGGCGGGCAGCTGCAGACGAATCCGGTCGGCTGGTTCATGCAGGTTCCGCCGCTCTCACACTGTTGGTTCCGGCAGTAGTCCACTGGGCAGAAAGACAAGTCTCTTAGTCAGTAATGTTGGTTTTATCTCATCAGTTTTGTACAGTGCAGTAAGTACGAAACTGATTATTTGATTTTTGAGAATTGTTGTACAGTACAGTAAGTACACGCTGTGCAAGGCAGGACTGTACGGATAGGGGTGTACAGTCGAGTGCCTTTCCCAACGGCATAGCATTGGCCTCTACTAAAGAACGTTCCCAACCACCTTGGCCTTGCCGCGTCGACAAATGCTAATAAGAATAGTCTAGTAATTACCTTCACATCCTGAAACGTCTTTGGCTCTGATATGTTGTCTAATGCAAGCGTAATATAAAATCTGTTCGACTATGTTATTCATCATCAGAGGAGCCTGATGCTTTTTCAGTAGGAGGGAAGCATGTCAGACGGACTTCAAATGAAGAGTGTTATCGTCGTTAATGGATGCAAAACTCTTTGCACATGTTTGAGGAATGGGCCAGCGTGGATGCCAGAGCCACAACTCTTCCAGTGTTACAAGGGAAGGATCGAAGGCGGTTCTCACGTGTTTCGCAGTTGGCGCCCAGCCACCCAGGGAAGCAGCGGCACTCGTAGGCGTCTCCGCCGTTGATGCTGACGCAGTTGCTGTTGTTCTGGCACGGGTTGCTCGCGCAAGGCTT